AACTTTCTTCATTTGATTTGAACTCTTGGAAATTAATTTGGACGTGATTTTCAACCAATTTTCAACTCCTACAAATATCTAACAACAGAATACATATTGGAGACCTCCTGTTGACCTAAAAATAATAAATTCTACGTATTTTGGAGGCGAAGAACGAGGCGCAAGCATCAACCAAATGCAAATTATACAAGTTTATTGAAAAATATTCATCCATTTTCCAGATTCAAGCCAAGAAATTGGATTCCTCTACTTTCTTTGTTATTTCTCGATTCGAGTGATGTCTTTTCATTATTTTTTGTATAATTTAATAATTAGGATGGTTGGCTATGTTTTTCAATTGTATTAGATGAATGTTGAACCCTATTTTCATTTATTCTAATTCAAGACATCAATTTAGGAATTTTGAGTTATTATTTAATTGATTTTACTTAATCATTGCACTACTTATTATTTGATCACCAATTAAGTAGTTAGTTGCTTGTTGTATTGCAGAAATGTTAACAATAATTCTAAAACGCGGTAAAATCAATATGATTAGTTGGAATTTGGAATAATCTCTTTTACACATTCAATCTTGTTGATAATATAAACAAAATGCATGACTTTCATATGAATTCGGATTATGAATAAGATCATCTCGTATTAGTCGTAGGTTGGTGTATCTTGAGAAATAACATTTAATATATTAACTTTATCGATTGTCAAAAAATGCATGAATTTTACTAGATTAATTATTGAGAATTGAAATAGATGGAAATATGGGGATTCACGATTCTAATACAAGCATTTATATATTAGAAAAACATCATATTTGTTTTCTTAGAGTAAAAATTAGTATAAACAACAAAACACAATTCTCTTTTATCGCTATATTTCGAATTTGACAAAAACTATTGAATTACAAATTAAACATTATTTATTGTGGGAATAATACTCTTAACTCACATATTTTATTACTTGTACAACGATCTCGTACGCTTTCCGGTTTCACGCGAACACCTTCCCATATTTTGCCCAATTGACCATGCTTCAAATTTTCCTCCTTAGCCTTGGTTGATAATTTGTCGGGCAAATTACTCAATACTATCTGTTTCGAGTTCAACGAAGCTCGATAAATATCAAGCAAGAACAAATGGACTCGGATTCGACCCCGATTGCTTCTTTGCAGTCTTGGGGATGAATATTTTGATCGATGTGTAGGAAAATTTGGATTTTGTCTATTAAAGGAACATTTTGTGATTTTAAAACGTTTTTTGGTTGTTTAATTAAAAATAACATTTTTAGATGACGTGGATAAAACACGTACATTCCGTCGTCACGTCATTTTTTTTATCATCCACTTGAAAATATTTGTTTAGTTGTACAAACGGAATTGACTATATAATGGATGAATAAATTAATGAATAGTTCAATTAGGCCCATGTTTGATGCACATTCTTAAGGAAAAAATGCATTTTTAATAATGATGTGATAGAAAATATGTGATTAAAAAAGAAGGAAAAATTTTGAATTTACATTAAATATTATTTTATTGAAAATTGTGTGGTTGGAAATGAGTATTGAAAAATGCATTTTTTTAAAGAACACGGATCAAACAGGGCCTAGGTAACTTTTAAATTTAGTAAGTAATAAGAGGAAATTACACCAAACCAGAATTTTAAAGATTTAATTTCAAAAATCAGATTAAAGGTTTCACTTTTCAAAAATTGAATATTTTATTTTTAAATTAATTATACAATATTCATCCAAACCTTAATCAGTTTCCCAATTTTCCTTTTCTCTCTCTCCGTCACTCACTCTTCTCACTCTCCTCCGTCTCCGTCTCCATCACTCTCTTCTCTTCTTCTTTCTCTCTTATTCCTTCTCGCTTGAGTTCACCGCACACAGCGGCGATCGAGAGTTCGCCACGCCCAATCTAGTGTTGGTGTTTACGGTGGCGTTGATGGCTTGTTGATAGTGCCGCAGTGCTATCTGTTAATTAGATCGGACGAGGCGGTGGTGATGTGTGGTAGTTGTGGTTGTTCTAACAACAGTGGTTTTGGTGATGTGGGTGGTAGTGATTGGATCTGGTGAGGTTGCTTGACCACACCAATGTTGGTGGTGGTTCCCAGTCATCGTGATGATGTTGTTGTGGCTACAGTTGTCTGGATCCCAATTTTAAACACTAATGTTGGATGTTTCGATTGGCCGATCAAGATGTTGGATGTTTCAATTGGCTGTGGGAATTGATGTTGTTGATCATAGTTTTGAGTCAGCAGGTAGGGAACTTTGTGGATAGAGATGCTAAGGCTAATTGATCGATTGTGTTGTTGATTTGAGGTCGGGGCTGCAGATCTCTGGCGGCGATTGTGGTGTTGTGAGTACGGTAATGATGATGTGTGATGTGGATGCAATGCCGTATACGGTGTTGTGGTTGGGTGCAGTGTTGCGTGCGATGGTGCAGTGATATGTGCTGTAGGTGCGGTGTATTATGTGCGATGGTGTGCCGTGTGGTGGTGGCTCGGCGTTGTACAGTGGTGTTGACCGATTGTTGTGAGGTGGTGAATGTGTTGATTTGTTTGGGATGGTGTTACTGTCGAGAGATGGTGGCGACGGTGGTGGTTTTGGCATCGACGGTGGTGGTGCTGGTGGTTACAGATTATTTGGTCGTTTGTGACCATTAAATTCATTAATTTTTGATCGATAAACAATATGTGATCAATGAAAAATATAAATTGTGACCCAAAAATAATGTGTGACGTAAAAAATTGTTAATTTATGACTGTATACTAAGTTGTGATTTATAATATTTGTGATTTGTGACCGATAAATAAGTTGTGACATATACATTTTTTTATTTGTGACTGATGAACGAATTGTGACTTATAAAATTTTTGAATTGTGACCTATAAAATTTCTGATTTGTGATCGTAAAATAATTTGTGACTTATAAAATTTCTGATTTGTGATCGATAAACAAATTGTGACGTAAAATTTTTGACTTGTAACCGTAAAATAATTTGTTTGATCGTAAAATAATTTGTGACTTACAAAATTTTTGATTTGTGATCGATGAACAAATTGTGACATAAATTTTTTGAACTGTGACCATAAAATAATTTGCGACGTTTCAATTTTTTTTTGTGACAGATGAACAAATTGTGATCTATAAAATTTTTGAATCGTGAACGTAAAATAATTTGTGACGTGTAAAATTTGTAATTTGTGACAAATTAATAATATGTGACTAATTATATAGAATTTGTGACCAAATAATATGGAATTGTGACATTCATATATTTAATTAATAAAATACATGTTTAATTAATTAATTTATAAATAAAATTTTAAAATAATTGAAATTTGAAATTTTAAACTTAAGCAATTAGTAAAACTAAATCTCTTAGTCATGTAGGGGTCGTTCTCTTCGTATTTCANACCATCAAATACCCAACATGAGTCAGAATAAACATAGTCGTGAGGTATACCTTCTTTGTCCTGAATCTTGGCCTTGACATTGTCGATAGTATCGCAGCTCTCGACTTCGAAAGTAATGGTCTTTCCAGTTAATGTTTTCACGAAGATCTGCATCTTTATCGGCTTGTTTTTCTCTTGCTCTCGGAAATCTACATAAAGATGGAATGTCATAAATTTTTCCCCCGATAGTGAGCAGTCCAAACTCAAAAATCATTCCCTACATATTTGAATTCATAATATCCAAATTTCAATAAGACATATTCACAATAATCACCACACTATATTCCACAGCTTGAAGGTTTCTAAATAAAACATATATTGTTTCAATACTAGACAAAGTATTACTAAAATTTTACTTTTATCAACTAAAATTACCAAACTCAGTAAATAGAAACCCAAACAAACAAAAGAAATAAAACTTATCAAAATTGAGAACTCTTCTTTTCTTGGGTTAGAATAGAGCTCTCCTAACCTCTAACTCACATTAAGCCTTTTTTTACATACACAAAAGACTTCACAGAGTTTTATATGTATATAGGGATAAACTTGGAGGATAATGACGTTAGAGTGGGATTGAAGCTATGCAACGTAAAGTTGCTGAATTTTCATTTCCTTGCAGGAGAGTAATTTGTTTACCAATTTGAGTCTTATTAGCGAACCCCACAAGGAACTAATGCCTTATCTTTCCCCTTTTCCATAGTAACTACAATTTAAACTCATCATCATTAAAAGCATATATCTCCCAAAGAAGCCTGCATCATCAAGCATAATTCCCGAGCACAACCCACCTTATAAGTCACTGCACCTACCCATATACAATATAAATAGATAAAAAGGAATTCATATTTACATTTTTAAGCATAGACTTGATATTACCTCGAAGAGGGGAGTGAGGAGAATAATGCCATTGGAGAGGGATATGGAGCCACGCAACTTGAGAGTTCCTGAAATTTCTATGATGGGTTGCAGCACAATTTTCTGCATTGTCTACGGCTTCTAGGCGGTGGCCATTGATGCCACATCTTCAATGGGCTGTTTTTTTTTTCCCGTAAAGACTGAATCTTTGTTCAAATCCCACAAATAATCCGATGAATTTTGCAGATTCTTGAGCCAATTAACATTGAACGTGAAATAAAAGCGGACGAGTTGGCATTGGGGGCGTGGAGTTTGTTCAGTAGCTCAAGAGGAAGAATTTTGGGGAAACTGGAAAATAAGGCCGTTTCCCGTGTTTTTAATCTGTGGAATGTTTTTGGAAGAAAATAGCCAAAACGGTGTTTTAGATGTTTTGCATTTTCAGTAGAATTTTTTTTTTTTCAAAAATTCATTTTCGAAAACGGGGAAGAGAACACATTTTCACTGTTTTGAAAAATTGAAAATAGAAAACGGTTCGAAAACAACAAAGAGAACAGCCCCGTATGGCTCCCAAGTAATAATTATGGGTAAAGTCCAGTAGTCAGTCGCATAATTAACTCGTAAGTATTGAAGATCCGATACAAATTGCCGATCGCGATAGTACAAACACAGTGAGTCGACTCAGTAGAAGAATGGAGAGCACAGGGGAATTAGTACCGTTTCCACTGCTGAACGAGTCGAATTATAGGGCATGCACAATTCCGCACAGGTTCGCATCCGACAATCCGAAGAAGCCTACGCCCACTGAACTCTCTTGGATCAACATCTTCCTCAACTCAGTTCCCTCGTTCAAGTACCATCTATGCATTTCCCAATTATTATTTGCTCGATTCATTACTATTTTACGTTTTCCCCCACCAATTAACACTTCGTTGCAGGAAGCGTGCCGAGAGTGATGATACGGTTCCTAATGCTCCTGCCAGAGCCGAAAAATTTGCTCAAAGGTACTCCAAATACTCACTTCACTCTATTCTATCTATTACTGTGCAAAATTACCCATATTGTTGAAGATAAGATGTACAAATGTCCTGTGTTCAAGTATTGCTGTCAGCCATTTATTAAAAATTGAAAATTGTGCACCTTTAAGGCTTTGATTGGAAAAATGAAAAAAAAATGTATCTATCTAACAACATTATGCTTCTCTTAATCAATGCCTGCTTATATGTTTCTATTGCTAAAGTTTTTCATTCTCATACCATAGGTTTAGCTATCTATCTTTAAGTTCTTTTTCTTGCCTCAACTTCATTGCAACCTTAAATTAAGTAGTTAACCAATGCACCTGAATGTATACTTTGTCTAACTAGCAAGGGGTGCAATGTATCTTTCTTTATTAGTAATGATTTTTAAGCTTAACTAATTTCTTACTTGAACATCTCTATAGTTGCATAATGCTTTCTTATTATTCAACTCTTCACCTCCCCATTCCCTTCATTGATCCATCAAAGATATGTGGAAATACTTGAGGATTTAAAGAAAGATCCTGAAAGCCACGGTGGCCCACCAGATTGCATTGTAAGTCAATCCATTGCATATATTGTTTTTCTAACTGTTTGTTTGGTTGATGAAGTTATATTGCAGTAAAAAAGCTTTATTTGTCTCCTTTTCCATGTCCCTTCTAGCTACTTTGCCAGATTCGTGAGCAAGTCCTGAGAGAACTGGGATTCAGAGACATATTCAAAAAGGTTAAGGTAATTTTCTCGTGACCAAATTGTGTCCTTAGTAGGAATGCTTTAATGTAGTGTATAATTCTTGAAAACAATTTCAAAGACATACTGATTATGTTTTTTGGTTTTGATGTCCCAAAGTTGACAGTAGTTGTCTCCTTTTATCTATTTTTTGTTAGTTTAACAGCAGGAAGAATAAAACAGGCTTATGATTGATCATGTTTTGCTGTGGTATAGGATGAAGAAAATGCCAAGGCAATATCCTTATTTAAAGATGTAGTTGATCTTAATGATGCTATCGAGGATGAGACCAAGCGTGTTCAGAATTTGGTTAGAGGAATCTTTGCTGGAAATATATTTGATCTTGGCTCTGCACAGGTACTTCAGCTGGACTATATTGGAACTAAGAACTGCAGCTTTAAAACTCACGCTTCTATCATTTGGTGTCAACTGGTTACTAAACCTCGTATAACTAAAATCCTGTGAGCTACGAGCTTGACCTTATTCAAATTAGCTTACATTTATTATCTGCGTTGAATGGAGCACCAGCAAGGTCATTTTCCTTTCCATAGTTGGTAAAGAATGGGTTTTCTGGATTTGACGTTCTTATATAGGTTGAGGGTTTTGTTTGGTACATGGGTTTGTAATCACTTGGAACTGGAATTCACTAAAATATTTTCTCCAACAACAAAAGTGGGAAGGTTTTTACAAAGCAAAATTTTGCGCTTATTCACAATGTTGATGTGCCTTTGCATAGTTTAGACCCCTTGGGTTTTTTCTTTGAATTTCAAAGTCACTTCCTGGAAAATGGGACTAGATTTTCCTAATGTTCTTGAAACCGGACCGAACAAAACCAGGAACCAGTCCAGTTATTGCTAAACACTGCTATATTTGAAAACTGGGAAGAGACCAATCGACGTTCGACAGACTTATCGAACAGTTTGATCCAGGAACCATTCAACTGATTGCCGATTGTCTTTTACTCGAGAAAAAAAAACTTCCTCTATCGTTCCCACTAATTAGCTTGTTTATGTCAACTTTTATGGTATGTTTATTTATTTAATCACTGGTTAGACCCTTTAACCCTTGACCGGGTTGGCTTTTAGACATTGGATTTTCCTGCATTCAGTCTGACCCCCCTTTTTGGGTCTTTATTCTTACGCGTTATTGGGATTTTTGGCCTTGGATTACCCAGTTGTTCTCATCTTTCTTTAGTCAGATAAGCATCTGTTTGGTGTCTCTAGCCCCTAATTTTCATAATTTCCATTGTTGACGCTGAAAGTTTCTGACATCTTGCTGCTCTTCAACCACTACAAGCGGAGGCAGTTGTGTTAATATCATGTTACCAATCTTTAAAAATTTCAGTCTCATGTTGTACTTTTGTGATGCTACACAATGTAATACGACCAAGGACCTACACATGACTTATGTAGCCATTTCACCAAAATCTAACTCTTGAATGCCATCCTGCAACAAAACTAATCATGTTGATTACTATTAATGAAGCATGATGTATCTTTTATCTGTGTACATTCTATGAAGTTTCAAAGTTTTCCAACCCATTTTTGGTGCTGATATGCAATATTCATCAATTATTCAGAGAACATGGATATATCTTAGGTTTAAATAGCTCTCTGTGAATCTTGATTGACATCAACTTTCTTTGTCAACGTATCTTGAAGCTTGCGGAGTTATTTGCAAAGGATGGCATGTCTTTTCAAGCTAGCTGTCAAAACCTTGTCCCTCGACCCTGGGTTATTGATGACCTTGACAATTTCATATCTAAGTGGGGCAGAAAATTATGGAAAAAAGTGAGTTTACATATGACTATATGAGTTTTAATTACTCTCTCTTGATATATGTCTCTTCAATTATTTTCTTTTATGCATTAATCGATGCAACATGTTTGCCTTCAGTAACTTGCTCGTCTATTATGCAGGCTATAATTTTTGTAGATAATTCTGGCGCAGATATTATTTTGGGTATATTGCCATTCGCTAGAGAGTTACTTCGACATGGTGTACAGGTATGATTTGAGAAGCTTGTCATTCTTTATACTGCCCATAGAACAGTTTTTTTTTTGCGATTTGCTTGAAATGTATTATAACATTTCTGTACTTGATGTTGTTTATATGCACATGACATGTAGATGAGTTTAATTGACGTTGGCTGTACTCATCTCTTGGATATGAGTTAAATTTGTTTATTTGTATGTAGTTCCTTTATGTGATTATGTGACTGGAGACGAATGTTACATTTATCAAATGTAATGAGAAAATCCCTCGTGACAGTTGATCTGAGCTGTTGGAAAAATCAGCGTCCCATGATTTGAAGTTTTAAACTAATATGAACCACGCAAATTTGCATGTATAAGACAGATTTTCTTTTAATTTTTTTCCTGTAGGGAGAAGTACCATTCTGAAGTTCAATGATCCGAACCACCTACATGTGAGGAAACACGTTAAAGGCTAATTTAAAGTAAATAAATGTCTTCTCTCTAAAAGCTTAAACTTTTGATGAGGTGGTTCAGGGGTCCAAGCATGCAAATTTACGTTTACCATCTCTTCCCTATGTCCACCTTGATACATATATATAATTTTTCTTTATGTTTTTGAATGTCATTTGAATGGTGAAATCAGGATCAAGTTACAAAGAGACCAGCTTATAGCAACTATGACCATCCCCAATGAAAACCCGTACTGTTGGCGAGATTTAATTCTTCATCGAGTAGGACCACGTCATAATCCATCTGGAGAAGACAAACAGCATACCAAGTTCTCTTGTTTTTAATCAACTCTAAATAGTAGAAAGAGTAGGACATCTTGAGCCTCAATGTATGGATCATACTCAAGAGTTCATCAATAATTTAAAACGAGGCGAACAGAAAGGTAAAATACCACTCGATAAATGAAATTGATTTAAGAGTCAAAATTGATATATGACAATATTGGAAGTCTGGTATCCAAGCTTGTCCTAAGATATAATATAACATTACATCTAGCTGCGGTTGTGTTGCACTATATTTGGATCTTCCAGTTATCTGTTTGTAGTCAATTTCAAACATATTGCTTTCTTGGCAGGTTGTATTGGCAGCAAATGATTTACCTTCTATCAATGACGTAACTTACCCTGAACTAGTTGATATTATCATGAAGGTAGTTGAACGCTTATGTATTGGTACTATGGTAATTCAAAATCTAGGTTGGCTCTGGCACTTAACAGTTGTTATTCTACAGTTAAAGGACGAGAATGGGAAGCTTGTGGGGGTTGATACTTCAAATCTTTTCATCGCCAACTCGGGTAATGATTTGCCGGTAAGTAGAAAATCTTCTTTACTCTGTGTGATCTTTTTCTCTACGATTTTCGAATACATATTCGTTTAGATTGTTCAACTGTCTTTATCGTGGTCTTATATATTATTACAGGTCATTGATCTTACAAGAATATCGCAAGAACTTGCCTACTTGGCAAGTGATGCTGACTTAGTGATTATGGAGGGAATGGTGAGTGCATTATATGAAAATTCTTTTGTACAGTTGTAAAATATATATCGCTATGAACTTGCATTTATTTTCTTCCTGAGTTTGTTTCTTTGAAAGGATCGTTTCATAGTTGTGCTCTGTTAGTTTTTTTGTGGTGAATATTCACCTTATTGCTACATGTAGGGAAATAATAGAAATGAGTTGAGTGATGATCTCGGCAAGACTTGAAGAGAAAGAGTTGACAAGTATTACTATCACATATGTTCTACAAATAGGATCATAATGGGAAACATCAATTTTTGGGAATGCATGGATTTGTTGAGTCTCTAATCAAAATAAAATCTTCGTTGTAGAGGTCAAATGTAATTGCCCCAAGGATTGTGATTCTAAGGTTCAATGTACTTTTATCTTTAATGAGCAGCTCCTTGTTTGATGCAGTTGCGAAGCCAAAACATCTCATTTTAAACGCTTTCAGCTCCTGGTGTGGTTTTCCAAATGCATGTAATTTTGGTTCTTTAGAAAAATGAAGGTAGGCTATTGATGGAAAAGAATTGAGAAGTAAGATTTAATATGATGTTTATGGGTTAGAAAATCATATTGTTGAGTGCCAAATGAAGTTTTATGGTGAATGCCAGTGGAAAAATGAATTTCTGCAAATATATATTAATGCTATTATGTTTCTAATGGAGCAATTATGAATGTGAGATCTAGACTATAGGTCAAGGTTGTGCCATGGTCAATGAGTACATAAACATGCTGTATTCATGGATGAACTCGCGGAATATCTAAGACGAGGTCCTCTAGTGTATATTTCTTCGATGTTGACATTGTTTTAGTTTAATAGTGCGTTAGGAAAGGGGTGTATTCTAAGAACTTCGAAAGAGCACTTTGAAATCTGAAGGTTTAAGATTAACTAAAAACAAAGATGAAGGTATAGAATCCTTTTAGTCATAGTAGAAAAATGATGATAGGACTCAATAAGGATTCAGCTAACCTATGGAGTTATTCTTTTAGGTATCTGGGTTCATATTTTTGAAGAGAATGTATTGCAAAAGGTTAGAGCAAATTGAACAAAATGAATAACTATTATGTTTATGTGATCGAACATACCTACCGAGTTAAAAAAAAAAAAGAAGGAGGAGGAGGAGGAGAAGAAGAAGAAGAAGTTAGATGAGATTTTTCCCACCAATTATGCTTTCTGCAATTGAGCTTTTGTCCGTCCAAAGACAAAATGTTTGTAAACTAAACGAAGAACAAATGAGGCTAGATGGATGTGTGGCCACTGGCCATAATAGAATGAATAAAATAATAAATGAGAATATATGTCAACAAGTAAAAGTGCCACCAATTTAGGATAAATTAAGACAAGGGTGATTTAAACAGATGAAGGATTTCTATAAAGAAACTTCCACGTACACGTACACGAGCAATACAATACCACTAGAATATGCTAAAGGAGTGATAGGTAGATTGTAGAAAAAAAATAATTTGGCTTGATATGGTTGGTGAAGATTCGATTTTGTTGGACACATAGGTAGTTGAAGTTCTACAAATGACTTTTTACCTCGTGTTACCAAAGCATGTAAATTCCATGTTGAATTTGTACGAGAATTGTATTAAAGAAATTGGATATTAACTTAAAACGTTCTTTTTGTAAATTTATAATGGGTGTTTGCAATAACAATTTCTGTTCGTTCAGCATTCATTATGTTGCATGACTTTGAAAAATGTTCTCTATATAAATTATTTTTACATAATGATGTTGCAAGATGGTTATGGTGCATCTTCGGGAGTTAGTTTTGATAGGGTTTTCATAAAGTAGGTGTAATTAATTATTTGTTTGAAAGACAATTGGGTTTGGTTGTCAGACTATGGCATTTGTGGAAAACGATCTTTTGATTTTCTTTTGGGTGATTTTAGAAAGGCTAAAAACCATATTCTAACACACGACAGGAGATAAAAAGTACATGAGACGTTATGTTCAACTGAGATGAGCTAGTTCTTTCTAGTTTCTCCTGTCCGCTGCATTCGTTCCAAAAATTTTGTTAATTAATTGACATTATTAATGCATATGTAACCCAGCACAAATGCACTTTGAAGTAAGATTAGAAACGAAGGTAACACCGCCGAAGTTGGATTAGAAACATAGGGAAAAATGGTGGTGTTTAGATTAAGAGCTTGTTTGGTAGCAATTAAAATCATTAAAATTGAAAATATAGTCGTTATTGGGTCCCACTTGTTTAATAAAAGTCAACAATAACGGCTAATTTTTCAATTTTAATCCGATTTTAATCTCTACCAAACAAGCTCTAAATGTCGGTATGCTATGTTCTTTACAACCACCCAATTTGAAATTGATTGGGATGTCGATCTAGTAACTATTGGATCAGATGATTCAAGTATCTCAACTTTGATTTATTAGTTTTCTTTGTTGATCCTGTCTGTATTGATGATTCTTTGGCCTGTTGAGACCATGTCAAGAAGCAACACAGCGACAGACTCACGTTTTGCCTTATCTCTCTCCACATTGGTATGGCTACTTTGTCGCCATCTCAAATTATTCTCTTTAAATTTTGTGCAGGGCCGTGGAATTGAGACTAACCTCTATGCTCAGTTTAAATGTGATTCCCTGAAAATTGGCATGGTAACTATTCAACATAGCATAAAAAGTCCTCCCTTCTCCCTCCCTCTGTTGTGTCATCAGTCTATGGAATAATCATTTTTTCCTCCTCTTTTCAGGTGAAGCACCTGGAGGTTGCACAATTCCTGGGGGGGAGGCTTTATGATTGTGTTTTCAAGTACAACGAATTTTTGGGTTAACGGCTTATTTTTGTCAACATGTCGTGGTCACATTGGAGAACATAGCACGGAGAATTGATATTATAGTAGGGATCACACTTAAACTATTACGGAGTGGTAATATTGCAATTTGTAGTGATCTCTCTTTACCGCACTGGTACCTTCAGTCACCGGGATTATATTATTTTGGGCTAATATTGCAATTTTATATGTTTTGATGGGATCTTGGGGTTGAGGTTGAACCATGAAATTTATATGCATGCTTAACTCGGCCCGGTCGCAGGTGGACGAAGATGGATGAAATATCAAAAAAATAAAGTTGCTTGTCATTTATGGTGTACATTGAAATAAAAACGTATTTGTCATTGCACGCAGATCAATTTTTTTGGTTGGATGCCAAGCTAATAAGCAAAGCACTTCAAATACTCCCAACAAAACTTGAAAAGGTCCGAACGACACCATTTTGTAATAGTAGATTTGTGGGGATTTTATTGTGCCTCTAAAGGTCTTTTGTGAAAGTTATGAATAATAGAGAAACATCCTAACAGATCGAGTAGTTGGTTGGAGAGTTGCACCGTTTTCACATTATAATAATTTTTTGTGAAAGAATATAAGATCTTATTAGTTGGAATAGTTGGAATGGTTCTGTAATACTAATTAGATTGGCGTTTTAGCGTGCTAAATGGCGTTAGGTGCGGCCATAGACACTTAGATTGACTCGTCTCTATTGACGAACTGAGCTTGGCTGGTGTGCAAATCTTATGATCTATTTGGCCCTTTGGCTCTTGGGCCTTACGAGCCTCCACGAGTCCAAATGAGTCAAGTTGAGCTGACTTGTTTTTAAATATATTAAAAAGGAGCTATAAGTTTTAGCAAATCGGTTCATAAGCTTGAACGAGTTGGCTCGTGGGCCTCACAGCCAACGAGGCTCGACTTGTGAAAAAAAGTAAGGTCGACATGGTTTCAAAATGAGTTTGAGTATTACACGGACCAATCTGGGACAAGCGGAGCTCATGAGTCGCTTTGCCTGTTTGTCACCCCAAAGCAGCATTAGTCAATACTATAAGTTGGGGATAATACTGGAAAAAAAAAAGATTAAGAATGAGATTGCACTCGCCTCAATAGATTGAGGATGAATAGTCCAATTTTCTCTTCATCGATTAGCTAGCGAAAGGCACGAATTGGCAATGGTGGATACATATCCACTGTACCCAGAAGTTTACCCGAAATGCCTTCATTATACTCTAATACATCATCTTCCTTGGTCAATGTTTCGTGCCGTTCTTCTGCTTCTCTCTCGAATCGACCTGTCCGGTGCTGCTTCTCTCTCCTCTTTCTATTTCTATAACATATATGTAGAGTTATTTGTATGTGCCGTTCTTGTCTAAATCGTTTTTGTTGTATAAAAAAATGAAGGTATGCAGTTCTTGGTGCTGGCTTCGCTGGGTTGTCTGTAGCTTGGCATTTGCTCAATGTACTCTCTCTCAACCTCTCGTTCTTTGTATGGTAGAATGTTCTTTGGATTTTTGGAGCTGTTTGGACCAACTGATTGAATTGTGATTGAAAAATGAAGTTTCCTAGTACCTGAATATATAAAAGAAAATGAAGTTTCTATTAATATAGAAATAGATTCTTTTAGTTATAGCCAAAGACTCAATAATAATTTTCTCTAATCTTCTATCGTATGAGTTTCTAGTAAAAGCTCCAAAGTTTATGAGTTTTGGAGCCAGTATACTCACGAGCATGCAAATACCATATATCTGTGTACAGCATAGTCTAAATTTGTCTTATCAAAAGAATATAGTATGTGTATGGTTGTAAATTTCTTCATCGATTCTTCCTCTTTTCTCTCTTGGCAATAATTTCAAAATAGACGAGCGTTAGTGGGTGTGCTAGATTGCACTAGCGTTGGACCTCCAATGCTCAAGTCAAGCATCAAGGAGAATAATCATATGAAATAAAAAGTAAATAATAAGAGTTGTGTATATAAAAAATATACTTTACCCCTTTTTCATAGGTTTTATATAACAATGAACTGGTGGTTAACTTGCAACTTTATTCCACTCTCGTCATCCTCAGTTTTGGGAATAATGAACTAGAAAATGGGTAATAAAACATTGAAGTTGGTGGTTAAGTGAGCCTTAAATATGATTAAAAGTTCATTTGAATATTTGTGCCTTGAGAGTATGATATGCCAGTTTTGATAATTTGTGTTTGACTCATTTGACAATTGGTGCTTTTTTTGTAATCACCATGATTATGATGCAATTTTCTTTTATTTATAGTTACTTTGATCTTATTAATGTTTGATTTTGTTGGGAGAAATTTTTATGGTTCTCCATTTCACCTAAGTTAGAATTTGATTTAGTTTAGACAATTATCTTGCCTTAACTTAATATTGTCTTTGTATAAATGCTCGATTCAAAATTACTGGTTCCATCTTTTCTTTCATCCTTCACCAACTACTGGGTACTTGTTCTTGCAGCACAGTTCCAAGGAATTGGATATGTGCATTGATATTTATGATCAGGTTGGCATTGGTGGAGGTGCCTCTGGAGTTGCTGGTGGACTCTTGCATCCATACTCCCCAAAAGGTCCATATCTATCTAGCCCCGTTCCTGTTATGAGCTTTCCTTTCAATTTCTGTCCAACTATCTATTCAATGACTTGCAATTTTCCTAGATGTATTAGTATTTGAAAACATGATCTATTTTTGAGTGAGGCTGTTTACGTTTGTAGTTAAGCTACTTTGGCGGGGCGCAGAGTGCTGGAAAGAGAGTTTAAATCTTCTTAATGTTGCTGAGGGTGCTCTATTTAAGCTAGTAGACAGGGGAAAACAAGTCTCTCCGTCAAACAGTGAACCTTCCATAGTCAAGAGGAGGTTGTTCTCTCTTACAATGGTTCCATAACATATCCATATTCCTGTACTGAGGTGTTCACTGGCTTAATAAATAACCCCTGTCCAATGATTTCTCATTGGCTTTTTTATTACCATATCGAAGACAATATTGGCTGCATGAAGACTTGAATAGGAGTAAATCATAAATATATTTCCAAGCAGGCAAGCATAGACCATTTTCCGCAAATGACTTTTGTATCCAATCTCTAGCACCTATAAGCATTACGTATACATTATGGAGTTCATCTTATGATGCAGATTAAATTTCTCCTTTTTCTTTACAAGTAAAACCCTCTGATATCCACTTATTTACTTCAGAGGAATCCTAAGACCAGCTGTCAGCTCGAAGAATTTGGACCTAATGATTGGTGTAAGTCCTTTTCTACTAGCTAACTAAGCAAGGAGTTTCAACTTGACTTCATGCTGATGCTGATTCATCTTATTGTCTATGAGTAGAATTCTGAGAACTGCTATACCAGTTGCAGAATCGAGTCCATTCATGAGGATGCTGCTCAGAGTCTTGTGCCTGATATTTCTGTACCATTAAACTTGGCATTTTATATGCCCGAAGCCCTGAGTATTAATTCTCAATGCTATCTCGAGGTTCGTAGAAATGGCTTAATGATTTTAATGTCTGAAATGATATCTTTTCGGATCATTTCTTTTACTATGTCCTTTTTTGTGATATTCATGTAGGCACTGTACCTAGCATGTGAAAATCTAGCAGAAGAGATGTCCATGGTGGGTGTTGCACGGAAAGAACTGTCTTTACACAAGAAATCTGTTGAGAGCCTCTTAGAACTAGCAGGTATCCTCCATATGATTTCTTTGTTTGCTTAATCACGTGTTTAAGTATGAAGTTTCCTCGCGCAATTGTAAAGTCTATCTATATAACCATCTAGGTTTTTAAATGAACGCATTTTTTGAAATAAGTTCCGCCTTCCTAAGAGAGGAAGGATACTGAACTTTTGAAAACTGCAAGGAGATAATTGAATCATCATTGATGATAGGACTATAACTAAGTTTAATGCTTTCTTAATGCATAAACTAAATTAACTAGAGGGGATAATTATCTCGATCTAGATTAGTGGCCTATTTTGTATTCATAATTTTTTTCGCCAAATCTTTTAATAAATCAAACTTGGCCCATGTTTGGTTGGAACAAAAAATAGATTTTCAGTTGATTTTGATAAAAGTTGGTGAAATGTGTGGTTGAATAGTTGATAAAAGTTGTGGGTCCCATAAAATGTGGGGTTGCAAGTAAGTTTGAGGAAAACTCAGGTTTAAGAAATGGGGGCTTTAAGGGTTTTTTTTTTTCCCTCTCCCGTCTGTGAAAAAACTTTACTTTCAAGTAAAAAGGCTTTATAATTCAGATTTTTTTTTTGATATTATCAATCAAAATAATCAATTATCAAATTGATTTAAATATTAGATATTAAGCAAACAAGTTGGCTTGGTAGGGTTTTATTTTATTATTATGTACTTCTAATACTTATTTGTTTTTCACTAAGTTCCTTAATTATTTATGCTTTACTCATTAATTAAAACAATTTCAAATTTTAACATATTTAAAAGTTAATAAGCCTTTACACAATAATTAAAACAATTTAAAATTTTATCATATTTAAAAGTAGTTTCAAATGTTAAATATTTTAGAAAGTAATGTTAAGATAATAATTTCTTTTAACTAATAACCTTTTAAATTAAGTTAAAATAATAAACTTTAATTTAATCGCTTTGCAAAATTTCAAATGTAAGTCTCTTGAGTCAAATTTTATACATAAAATAGCAAAATATCTTTTTCAGTCATTTGACATTCTTTGTGAGCTTACAAGTATTCATTTTACTCAAAATATAAAATAACTACTTACAATACACCTTACTCAAATGCGTATCTTAAAAATGGTCTTGCTACTTGCAATCAAAAAGGTAATGTAACTTGTAAGGAACAATTTTAAGTTAAGACAAAAGGCTCCATAGAGGGACAAGCATCAGCTTTGAGTCTGGGCCTGAGCCTTACGCTTGAAATTTTCAGTCTCATAATATCTATCAACCTTCAGCCTTGCACAATCAACATGAAACTCACCATTTGTTTTCAGGGGAATACGATGCAATTATTATTTGTCTAGGTGCCAGGGCAGCCTTTTTACCAGAGCTCTCGGGAAGGCTCCCGTTGCGGATGTGCAGAGGTTTAGTTACTCACTTGCAGCTTACTAATGATATCAGGTAAATCTCATGATGCTATGCTCTGCGATGCAACAATAATAAGCATATAGATTTTGTTTGTAAATTCCAACCACTATGTTCGGTAAAGCTTTTTCAAGCTTATAAGCAGATCAAACATCATTTTTATCTACACATTTCGAGGGACTACAAAATTCCAACCACTATGTTTGGTAAAGCTTTTTCAAGCTTATAGTTGGTCAAACATCATTTTTGTCTACACATTTTGTGAGATCCACAAATTTTATCCATACATTTTGTAGGACCACTAATTTTATCCACATATTACGTAAGACCCACAAATTATAATCTACGAAAAGCTTTACAAAACATACACGGTATGAGAAGCTATAGCTTCTCTTGACATCTGGGTGCTTGCGCAGTTAAAAATTGCTCATCTTATATTGTTCTGTGATGACTCCATGATGAACAACTTGGTATTGTTTCAAAGTCTTGTCCAAACATTTATTTTTTCCATCCAGAGAGTACAGTTCTTAATAATATATCTTTTAATATTTGTTGCAGAAAGGATTATCCGTTACATAGCCCCTCAATCTTGTCAGACGCGTGGCTCTCTGTACAAGGCGCTCGCAGTATACATATGGGTTCAACATGGGAATGGAAGTCTTCAAATTACTCAAGGGACGTTTCCGTGGAGGAAGCCGCTAAGGCGATGGAAGTGCTTCTACCAAAAGCATCTGCTGTGTACCCACCCATTAAAGAATGGACAATAACTGGCGCAATGGCAGGACTAAGGGCGATGCCTCCACTCACTGCAGATGGATCACTTCCAATTCTTGGTTGTATAGATAACTTGGTAGGTGGTGGTAATAATGGTGGTTGCAAGTACTGGTTGTTTACAGGGTTAGGGGCAAGAGGTCTGCTGTTCCATGGGTGGCTTGGGAAGCTCATGGCCCAGGCCGTACTTTCCTGTGATGAAGGTTTGATCCCGTCTGAGTTGACTTCATGGAAGTACAATATGCAGCAGCAATAGTAAGTAGTCGAGCATTCATGTGTTTGAAGAGCCAAATATTTGAGGCCAGTTTTGGGGTCATTGCTTAACGAAGAGACTAATGGCGTCAGGAATTGTGCTAGCTAAACAAAGGGGTTGACTGGCAAGCAAAGCTACAAGATGATTAGAAATTACGGCGAGGAATAACTTACGCTACACGTACGAATGGACAGACACGATACTTGATTTCGCAGATTGCGATAATTGTACTAGTTTTGGTTTATTCATGGCTCATTCTCCTGCAGTGCATGCCATGATTGTGACACTACTTATCTTGTGATGTAATTGGGCAAGGATATCTCAATTCTAATGGGATATATGTCCAAAAATTGTAGGACTTATACTGTAATAACAGAAACATTTCGATTGTTATTGAATAATAATAGGGTTTTACTTATTTTCTATAAAAGAGAATTGCATTATTTTGAGCATGTGTACAAGTGTCTTCGATTAATGAGTGAAATACAGGAAATGGTGGATAGTACATGAGATGCTATTTGTATGTTGATCGAATTAATTGTCCATGGCGGTAGAATAAGAAGTCGGCATTCTATTCGTTCAGTCTTGTAATAGTTGCTATTCTACTAGTTGGAGTATACATTTTGTCATGACCGTGGCAAGAGGATATTAGGGGTAGTGTCACTAGTACATTTGGTAAATTTGGAAGTGTATCGGAATTGATCATTTTGTGTAAGAGTTTAATTCTAATGCATGATCGTGTTAGAGAGAATTAAACTCCACGTTGATTGCTTTATGAATTACATTAATTCCTTAGACACGAATAGTTGTTATTTGTGAACTCTATGGTTTGAGTGAAATCTAATTATAGGATCAAATATCTCGGTATGTTGGGAAATGAAAGTAATCGAAGTGTTAGACAATTATTCATTTTCGGGATTTGTTGTCCCGTTCAAAGGATAAAAAAGTCTACTTAAGTTTTTTTTTCTAATCAGTTTTAATCTGAGCTCAGTATTTAGTAATGGCCAATTGTTACTACAAGTTGATTGGAAATAAGTCATTAAAGAAAATGTTAGGTTAAGCGACAAAATAATTAGTAGTCGTAAAGCGGTCCATGTAGCCTAACATTAATTATATGAAGACGTGATGTGTTCTTTCAATACAGTTTTCCAATCTCTAGGTACTAAAAAGTCGCAAGTTTTTGTTTATGGTTATTGGTGAGATCTTGGCGCCCACTCGTCAAGTCCAATCTGGACTTGAAGAGTACTAAAGATTCAAGATTTGAAAGTAATTCAAGATCAAAAAATTTATGATTATCAATTCAATGTTAGATAATTAATGTCCTATTGCATGTACTAGAAACATTGAGACAACTGTGAAACATGATGTCAGTTGGAAGGAATTATAAATTATTTGCTATAATGTCAGTTTCACGTCAAAGTTCAAAGTCCAGGCCAAGTCTCACATGACATTAGTCGAGCAACATAGTGGTCAATTATATAACATGATGTAATTTCAGTGACTAAAGGTGTAAAATAATACTTTGAGGAGTTATTTGAAATTTGTCTCGTACTTTGGTGACCATTAGTGAAAAGTTTCTCCAAATACATACGGCGCCGTTTCCTTCTCCTTTTCTACACCGCCACCCAGACGATTTTTACTACTGGTGGAAAAAACTCTCCCTCCATACCGTTCCGTCTCGAAGCTAACTCTATACTCTCTCTCTCTCTAATCGCGTACGCAAACTCTATTTTCTAGTTCATTGTTATTAATCCTCTCTGCAAGGTAGGCTCTCCTCTCGTCGGGCAATATATACCTATTATATTTAGAAATCGTTATGTTGAATATTTGTGTGATGTTGTTTACTCAAATTTATTAAATTGTGTTATTGTTCTAACTGCAACAGTAATTTATTCATTATCTTTTTGCTATATGTGTTTGGAATTTGAATTTTATAGAAATATAAGGTGTGCAATGGTGATGTTTAATATTTGGAGAGAAGTACTTAATTAGTTACCTGAAAAAAATTAAAAACAATGGATATTATTATCTTAAAAAGTCTTCAATTAAGTGCATATATGCTGGTTAATTTCAAATCATATTCTAAATCTCGAGCTGAAAATGCTATTTACTTGTAGTTTCGAAGTAAGTTTATCCTACAATAACTAAGTTAAAATTTTAGTCCCGTTTGTATGTAAAAGTATACTTTTGATGCTTTTCTAAAGCTGCAGCCTTTAGTTAGTACAGTAGAAATTAGTTTGTGGCATGATTTATTTTTATGATTTGTGTAACATATGTATATATTGGTATAAAATCTTGAAATACTTTTCAAAAATTTTCTTATTTGAACAAGAAATTGAAGCAAAAGTGTTATTGGCTTGAATTCACATTGTTACTTCAGTGCATCACTTAGCTATTCAGATTTTCATTTCTTGTATGAACAAATCTCAAGCTTAAGCATGGGCTATTTAGTTTCTTAAAAGCAATATTTTTATGTTGTACGGAAAGGGATTGGCTCATTTTTGCTAAAATAATTGACACTGTTTCTTAGGCTGTAAATTATAGATTTTGCACCGTATTCATAACTGGTTGAGAATAAAAATTACTTGATGGCAGATTTTTCAGATCCATGGATGAGAGTTTATATGATGAGTTTGGTAACTACATTGGACCAGAAATCGAGTCTGATCAGGAGAGCGATAGGGAGGAGGAAGATGAGGAACTTGAGGAAAGAGCTGATGATGCGAGGCCCATGTCGGATGATGAGCACACTCCTGGGAAATCAAATGGCTGGCTAACTACTACTGATGATGTTGATATGGACAGTCAAATTGTCCTCGCTGAGGACAAAAAATACTACCCAACTGCCGAGGAGGTTTATGGTGAGGAAGTTGAGACATTAGTCATGGATGAAGATGAGCAGCCATTGGAGCAACCCATAATTAAACCTGTCAAGAATCTCAAGTTTGAGTTGGGGGTTAAGGACTCATCAACCTATGTGTCAACACAGTTCCTTTTGGGTCTTATGTCAAATCCAAAACTGGTTCGGAATGTTGCTTTGGTGGGGCACATACATCATGGAAAGACACTGTTTATGGACATGTTGGTGGAGCAGACACATCATATTTCAACTTTTGATCAGGACAGTGAGAAGCATATGCGGTACACAGATACAAGGATAGATGAACAGGAGAGGAAGATATCTATTAAAGCAGTTCCTATGTCACTGGTTCTCGAGGATAGCTGTTCAAAATCTTACCTTTGTAACATCATGGATACTCCTGGTCATGTTAACTTTTCAGATGAAATGACTGCTGCTCTTAGGCTTGCTGATGGTGCAGTGTTAGTTGTGGATGCTGCAGAAGGAGTGATGGTAACATTTATTCAATTTATTTAACTGTATGCCATGGTTTTTGTGTTTTGGGAACTCTGCCTACTTATGGGAATGCTACTACTAAGACGTCTTAGTTAGCGCGATTATCTGTAGTCTTGTGTCAAATCATGTACTATTATCTGTATGTTGTAGTCAATTGACTTGTGCCACCTGTGCTGTTATGCTTTTGCAGCCATCTCAACTGTTATGTTGTTCATAACACTTTGTCCATATGCAAACCAAAACTCTAATAAAACCTTTCTTATCTTCACTAACCTCCAAAATCATCTCAGTTGTGGCAAAAAAAATTGAACTAAAAGTTGAAATGAAAGATTTTGCTTTATAAGTTGTTGACTGTCAACGAAGTTGTATTTTAAGTATATTTTTAAAGAGGAGTTTTTCCCATATCCTCTCGTTACTTTGGTCCTTCCAAGCAATTTCCTACTTATTATTTATATGTTTCAGCCGTCGCAACCAATATGGTGCGCATAGCTTTTTGCGAACTATCACACCAATTTGTTTTCAGGGAAGATTATAGGGCATGGCATCTGAATTTGTCTTTTTTAATTTTTTTCCCAATCACTTTAAGATCTTGCCATCTTGGATGACACAGTGACTGCTACACAATTGAATGCTAAAAAAAATGTAATTGTTTGGCTCTCTTAAAACCATGAAACTGAAGTTATAGCTGCCCTTACCTTTCTGGATCCTAAGTGACACTGAACTCCAATAACAAGAAGTTACTGTTAGTTTAATTTCACTTCATCTTTTCCTTAATATATTTCTGCTCCATTGCTGGGGATAAAATTGAGAAAACTCAGTCAAAATCATGATGTTCCCTCTTGAAGGCTGGGTTTCATTCCAAGTATCTTGACAAACTGTATTGAGGCTTGACAAGCTATATTGGCCCAAATTAGGGTCATTGCATATGTGAGTGTTTTTATATATCCACGTGCTTTTGTGTTAGGTATTGCACAGCAACTATTAGCTAATATGTTGTCTGTTGATGTTTCACACATCAATTGTTTTTGTACAGTTTTCCAATGCCTTCCAACTGCCACCTGTAGTTGCTGCATGATAAATTTAAGGGGTTTGCTGATGTTCTTATATATTCTGCTTCCACAGGTAAACACAGAGAGGGCTATTCGCCATGCAATTCAAGAGCGCCTTCCCATAGTTGTTGTGATAAACAAGGTAATTTTTTCATTCACCTAATCTTTTTGAAGCACATGGAGTATTCCGTGTGAAAGTAATTGCATCCTGGGATCTTGTGAGTTTCTTTATGTACTCATTTTATGTTTTATAAGCAGGTTGACAGGTTGATAACTGAACTGAAATTGCCCCCAAAGGATGCTTACCATAAGATAAGGCACACTATTGAAGTTATCAATAACCACATAACTGCTGTCTCTTCAACTGCTGGAAATGTCCAAGTTGTTGATCCAGCTCTTGGAAATGTTTGTTTTGCGAGTGCCAGTGCAGGATGGTCTTTCACACTGCTGTCATTTGCTAAACTATATGTCAAACTCCATGGCATTCCTTTTGATGCTAATAAGTTTGCTTCTCGTCTTTGGGGTGATTATTACTTTGACCCTGATACCAGAAGTTTCAAGAAGAAACAACCTGCAAATGGAGTGGAAAGATCTTTTGTCCAGTTTGTGCTCGAACCTCTTTATAAAATCTACAGTCAAGTGATTGGAGAACATAAGAAGAGTGTGGAGGCTACTCTTTCAGAACTTGGAGTGACTCTCAGCAATGCAGCTTATCGGTTAAATGTTAGGCCTCTGCTTAGGTTGGCATGTAGTTCAGTTTTTGGGACTGCCACAGGTTTTACCGACATGCTAGTTCAACACATTCCATCTGCTAAAGAAGCAGCAGCGCGGAAGATTGAGCATATATATTCTGGGCCTAAGGATTCCACAATTTACCAGGCTATGGAAGATTGTGATCCTTCTGGTCCTCTAATGGTTAACGTGACCAAACTGTATCCTAAATCTGACTGCAGTGTTTTTGATGCTTTTGGTAGGGTCTACAGTGGTGAAATAATGACTGGTCAGACAGTAAGGGTGTTGGGAGAAGGCTATTCTCCAGATGATGAGGAGGACATGACCATGAAAGAAGTTACAAAACTATGGGTTTATCAAGCTCGTTATAGGATTCCTGTAAGCAGGGCCCCTCCTGGTTCTTGGGTTCTCATTGAAGGTGTAGATGCTTCAATTATGAAAACAGCTACACTGTGTAATATGGAGTATGATGAGGATGTGTACATTTTCCGACCACTTCAATTCAACACTCTCCCTGTGGTGAAAACAGCTACTGAGCCTTTAAATCCAAGTGAATTGCCAAAAATGGTGGAGGGTCTTAGGAAGATCAGTAAGAGCTATCCTTTAGCAATTACAAAGGTTGAAGAATCGGGAGAACATACCATTTTAGGTACTGGAGAACTGTACCTGGATTCCATAATGAAGGATCTTAGGGAGCTTTACTCAGAAGTAGAAGTAAAGGTATTTGAGTTTTTATATTTGCATTGTAATTTAAAGTGAACATTGACACAATTTGATTTTTTTTTCCCCAAAAAAGTTTGTTTTGTGTATTTTAAACTGGACATTTACTTTCTCATTTTGATCTCTTCTAAATGCTTCCCTTTCTGCTTTGCACTTTTATATTGATCAATGTAGGTTGCAGATCCCGTTGTGTCATTCTGTGAAACGGTTGTTGAGTCCTCTTCTATGAAATGTTTTGCTGAAACGCCTAACAAGAAGAATAAGATTACCATGGTAAGAAAGTCGTATGATGTACCGTCGATCTAGTAACAGTGAGAGTGTACTGTTTAATTTGGATTTTTTCAATGTGAATAACTAGATTGCTGAGCCACTGGAGAGAGGACTTGCTGAAGACATTGAGAATGGTGTTGTAAGCATTGACTGGCCTCGGAAAAAACTTGGGGACTTTTTCCAGACAAAATATGACTGGGATCTGCTTGCTGCGAGGTCCATTTGGGCTTTTGGGCCTGATAAGCAGGTGATGTGATTGCTGGCTCTATCTATATTGTTATTTAAGGCTTTAGTCTTCATCAAGCATCTTTAGTACGAATGGCTACAATTCCTTTGTTTTCCCCTCATTTAAGGTATTTGATTACACGTCAAGATTAATCTTTCTGTTCAGTATTGACACTTATATATTTTTAGGGACCTAATATTCTATTAGATGACACGCTCTCAAGCGAAGTTGATAAGAGCTTGCTGAATGCTGTCAAAGATTCAATTGTTCAGGGGTAATGTAATCTAAGAATTCTGGTTCGCTTCACAATTGATTTCTGCTTCTAGTACTGAGTAATATACTCTGGACAGATTCCAGTGGGGAGCTCGAGAAGGACCTCTCTGTGATGAGCCAATTAGAAATGTAAAGTTCAAAATAGTTGATGCAAAGATTGCACCCGAGCCATTGAATCGTGGAACTGGTCAGATCATTCCAACAGCCCGACGTGTGGCTTATTCAGCTTTTCTCATGGCAACTCCTCGGCTGATGGAACCAGTGTACTATGTTGAGGTAATCATTTTCCACATTACTAATGTTTGGTATGCTTCATCTAGAAACTATTCAAGGTTATATTGCATTTACCATGCAATTTTTGGTTTACTAATTTTTTTTTATTGCACGTAATGATGGATCCACCTTTATATTTCTTTCAATAATTGATGTTTCTCCGCAATTGATTACTATGTCAAATCTAAAACTTAACATCCTGTATTGTGAGGGATGTTGAGATTAAAATTTGCAACAGCACAGTACTAGTGCTTTCTCCATCAAGTTTAAGTTACATTTGGACTGACATGATGATTTGATATTTCAGATTCAAACACCAATAGACTGTGTCTCTGCCATATACACAGTCTTATCACGCAGGCGTGGGCATGTCACTGCAGATGTTCCACAACCAGGGACCCCGGCATACATTGTTAAGGTTTGATTGCCCTAATTCAGTTCGTACAATGTTTTTTTCCACTATATATTTGCTTGAATGTGTTGCTTCATAAATTATTTAATGATATCTCTTTTTATGTGTGAACTTCAGGCCTTTTTACCAGTCATTGAATCATTTGGTTTTGAGACAGACCTGAGGTATCATACCCAGGGCCAGGCATTTTGTCTTTCTGTATTTGATCACTGGGCAATTGTCCCTGGAGATCCCCTCGATAAGAGCATCGTATTACGACCATTGGAGCCAGCACCAATCCAACATTTAGCTCGGGAATTTATGGTCAAGACAAGGCGTCGTAAGGTATAATCACTCTACTCATAATGTTAAGATAATTTTTTTGCTGTCCACATTATTGGCTTCTTATTTGTGTTCGTCTCTAATTACGGAACCCATGGAACACGGGAAAGAGCATTACGACTCTTCTATGTTGGGTTGTAATAATCTTCCATGGTGTCATTTGTATTGGAGTAGATGCATGTGATACTAAATGTGACTTCTTCAAGACCCAATTGGTTGGTCTGTTTAATACGTGTTTGTGCTATTGTGCCGTTTTGCAGAGTGAATGATCATAATTCCGGTAATCATTTGGGTCGATTCTTTTTGACCTTTAGAGGCATTTTCCATTCTAACTTTCTGTTGAAGAGTATTAGGCAGTTTGATTTTTGATTTTTGGGTTTAAGAGTGCTAAATTTCGAGCATGATCCCGGCTGGAGGGCTCCAATGGTTCGAGCGAACACATTATTTGGTCATCACTAACTTTTGTGTTTTTGAATTGGTTATTTCTCAGGGAATGTCTGAAGACGTAAGTATTAACAAATTCTTCGACGAGGCTATGGTGGTAGAATTAGCTCAACAAGCTGCTGATCTGCACCAACAGATGCTGTAGTAGAGTAGGTGTCCATTACCGAGTCGTGAATTTTTTTCGAGGGGATCGCAGATAGCCGAAAATAACATTCCAAGTCTGTTTTTGTATGTTTAAGGATTTTCTCTTTTAGTGTTCTTAAGTTAATGAAAGTAGATGACCTCGTACCTTGGTGGTTAAGGTCAAGGTCGAGTTTGATAACTATGCTTTTAGCAAAATTCATCAACTTTTCAGAATAGAAATGTTTCAAGAGGTTATCTTTCATTGTAGAATCCAAAGAGAATAGTTTCTGAATTAGCTTAACGTGGGAACAACAATGACGAGAAGTATGATACGAATATTTCAATCTAGAATTTTTGTATCTTCGATTCTCTATCTTTTAGATTCATAGAGTTTTAAGTTTTGTCTTTTCAATCAATTGGTTGAAATAAAGTTGTATGCCCGCCTTCTGAATTTATACTTCGTTTTAGGTTGAATTTACCAAAATTACAGTACATACAAAATTTTCATGAATAGGTCATAACTCACAAGTGATAATAAGATTGAAGTAATGGTCTTTTTTTGTTCTAATTATTTTGAGTCACATTGTCCAAAGTGTAAATTATTGGTTGAAGAATAAATTTATTTAGGCTCCGTTTGATTCGCCTTATTCTCCATGGAAAATTCAACTTTTATAGTGTTTGATAGGTAAAATTTTTTCCACCTTTTTGAGGAAAATAAATTCTTGATGTTTTGGTGGGAAAAAAATTTCCAGTTTTTTTTTTTTTTGGGCAATTGGAACAAAGTCTAGATACAATGGTAAAAAAATTTATCACTTTTATTGACAATTTCCATGTAAAACAAAGTCAAACGAATGATATTCAGTATGATAATTTTTTTTTTTTTGGCAATTGGAACAAATTCTAGACCCAGTAGTAGAAAAAATTATCACTTTAATGGACAATTTCCACAAAAACGAAGCCAAACGGACACCAAACTTTCAATATTTTTTATGAAAAATTATACCAATCAAATACAATTAATTACAATTCTCAGTAAAATAATTTCTAGGTAAATCAATTCTCGTAAAACATTTTTTTTCCACCCATTTTTCACATTTACAATCAAACAAACCCTTATTTAAATTTATTTCCCACTTGACAAGGAACTCAATCGTGTAAGATTAATGCTTAAAGAGCTAATAATAGTAGCCTTTACCCATGAATATTTCACCACCATAGAAACATTGCACAATCTCCATTCCAAACCCCTTGACACAAACAATATTATCATCTCTCTCTCTCCCCCTCCCTCCCTCCCTCCTTTTTTACTTTTAACAATGTATACCCGAAATTGACACAGATGGATAGGTAAAAACAACAAGTGCGACGGCATCATGTTTTGTATCGGATCAAACCCATCAACGCGTTTCATATTTTTTCTTTCTTTTTTCATACTCGCCACCCTATTTTCGTCGTCTTATGGAGATTCTCATCTCAACGGCCTCCACCGTTCACATCTCCCAGGTACGTACATACGAAAAATATCACAAACCATTTGTTATATGCATGCATGGACAAATTAATTGTAATAATTTATTTTAATGTGTTGTTTTTGATGCTAGAATATGATGAGGTTGTCGAATGGAATACGAGGAGGATTGTCGTTGAAACCTTTACCAATTCTACAGATATGATATTG